GAATGGAGTTACATACGTGCGGCAATCGCTGAAAAACAAAAAAAGGTACCTGAACCTTTTTGGTGACACGCACGGCAGTTTTCTAAACCGTGATCTGCGCGGTTGCACGGGCAGTATCATGGCGGAAAACCACACAATCTGCCTGGGGCGCCATTAAAAAATGATCGCACCACCAGAGTGATCGGCAGTGGTGTGCAATTCTGTGACCGCGTGGCCATCTGTGCGGCTTCGTGCACGATTGCCGCGTAGTCACGGATCACCCAGGTGTGAACCTGGCCTCAGATGTGAGTGGGCACCATTGAAAATAATGGCATTCTTTATATGAAGCGATGTTGCTGGACAAAACTCTCAGATATCAATGGGGCATTAGACTGGAAGTAACAAGAAACAATTTAAACTTATTAAAAGGTACTTTCTGAACACTGATTCATACATTTATTTCAAACAATATCAGGATTCTAATGCACTGGTACTTTTCATTTTCCCCCTCGCTACATGCAGAAACACCTTTACATAACTGCTACGTGGCAGATATTACTTCATGAATATGTGATAACCGTGCTGGTGGCTTGGTGTAGTGAAGAGGTCACCAGAAGTTAATAAATAACTAGGTGAAACATAATTTAAGAAAAGTCTCCATATTATAGCGCTAAAACCTATTAATCAAACAGCAGCAATAGCAATCACATTAATAACGTACAATAAACTCTGTTATCCGGTATTCAACTAACCAGAAACAAAAAAATCCACGGTGTGCTCACTGTTCTGCAGCATGTATTATTCGGGAGACGATCATGGGCCTATTTGGCTTAATTTGCTTTTCATTACTGCATTTCACTGTTAATATGAAGTCAATACAGATTTTACGTTATAGTATAGTATGGGGTATGGCATTAGTTAGACCTATTTTTAATAGTAACTCTCAAGCAACCAGAAGCTACATTTATCTGAAATCTACCAATCCCCGTGGATGCCGGGTAACAGGGAGTTTACTCTGCTAAGAAACTTATTAATATATTCCTCTTTACCAAATGTGTTTACTTTAGAGATGGACAAATACAAATGGAATCCAGTAGCCAGTATGTACAATCTAGGAGCCAGCAGGCATTAGGAGTCAGCTCCAATGACAACAGCTAGAGAAAAACCTCAAACATTAGGTGTCATCTGTCATTTTCAAGGGGCATTGACTACCCGCCTCCTGGGATTTGTCCAACCCTGGTTTACACAGAATTTCTATACAAAATATGAGCAGAAAAAAGTACTGTTATTAGGTCACACTATACAAGCTAATTACCCCCAATCAATTATATATGCTTGGACGTGTCACCTTGTCAATGTGATCTATTTAAAAGGCCATTGATCCAGGTCAGTATTTGAATGGGTTACATTACTTATTTAGTGGGATGGCTGCAAAAGCCAGCTGGGTTACTGTGTATGACCTTCACCAGGTCACTGTATGACTGTTCTTGTGTGGCCTTTGGAATTAGGTGCTTTCAGTTACTGGAAAATAGGCATTCAATGTAGGTATTTTAAGTTTCATATAATCTTTGTGCATGTAAAAGGTGGGATTTAAAAAAAAAAAAAATCCTTCAAGCAGCTATAGAAGTTAAAACAATAAAACCAAAATTAGGCAATCAGCTATACACATAGGCTAGGTTCAAACTAGGACGATCCTTGACTGTGCGGCAATCCTGCACGAAACCGGGTGGATGGCTGCGAGGTCATGGAATTGCCCACCACCGACAATCGCACTGGTGGTGCCATTATTTAGTGCAATCGCAGGTCAAAAAAACATGTGGTGCGTGTCGCAAAAAGGAGGTACAAGCACCTTTTTTCAGCGTTTGCCGCTCGGATATAACGCTATTAAAATTAATAAGGGTTCACGGCAATCACTGTGTACAATCGTGCAGTCCCAGGACGATCACCGATATCTGAACCCAGCCTTAGGCTACATTCACACAGGGCTTAAAAGGAGAACTATGGGGTCAGTGTTTTTCCCCATAGTTCTCCTTAGGGTAACGGGAGGACACAAACTAGCGTCCTCCCGTTACCCTGAGCTCAGTATACCGCGAGCTACAGCTCGCGGTATACTGAGACGCCGGAGCGGATCCCGACGTAGATGACGGGATCCGCCCAGCTGCGTGAGTGAAAGCTGGCTCTGCCTATCTAGAGGCAGAGCCAGCTGTACCAGCCCCCTCCCCCGTCCGCTCCGCCAGTCAACGCTGGCAGATCGGAGCGGGGAAGAGGGGAATCCAGCCCCTCCCCCTGTCACGGCAGAGAGCTGTGACAAGATCGGAAGGTGAGCGAACCTGGTATGTGTTCGCTCACCTCCCGATCTACTGAGCCGACCTGCGACAGTCTCATTGTCACAGGTCGGCTAGAACTATGAGGTGAGTGGAAATCACTCCTCATAGTTCTCCTTTAAGGCGGTGGACTCTTGCAGCAACAACCTACGGATTCTTGCGGCAGGAATTTCCAGGTGTGTCTGTGCAGATGCGGCCTCTGTGCCCGTTTACATGAATGACAGGCTGACAGCGGTTGCATCTGTCAACAGCAGTCCTTCATACATGGAGCGATTACCTGAGGTTCGGGCAGAGGATTGTCTCTGGATGTAGACAGATCAGGACACATGACAGCATATGATTTCTCCACTTTGGCGGTAGGTGTCCCAACCTTAAAGTAGTACTGAAGCCAGTTAGTTTTGGATAGAGTAACAGAGGGTTAAAAGCTTTCGTTGCCATCTGCGTCCCAATGGAGAGATTTCTCTTCACATCAGATAGCCAATACAAGAAGCAAGAAGAAATGCCTCCAAAGTGAGGGACATCCACAGTGGTTAAGTAGGGTCACCAGAATTAGTGTCCCCATTTTGCATCTATTCCGGTTCTGGTGAACGTCATGTTCAGTTGGTATCATTATGCCAGCGCCATGTAGGAAGAGAGAAGCCTCTCTGCCCCCTCGTTTGTCTCCTCAGCATAGACAACGGTAATGGCGTCTTCAGCAACTAGGAGCTGAGGAAGTCATCAGAATTGTCTGAGATTCCCACCCTGATCTTACACTGCTTTTAGGTGTATCTGTGTGCAAATGTTAAAACCACTTTCTGTGATTACTTCGCTGACCTCAGCAAAGCAACCACTTTACACAATACTACGCATAGAAAGGTCTTAGGAACGCACACTTAGCAGTTTAATGTACTCAGCAAAGAGAAGTTGCCAGATGACTGAGTGTAAGCTGCAGGAGGAAACCACAATAAAGAACTGCACAAAAGTTAAACTTTGGAGATTAACATGTGGTCTAAAATACGATTTGCAACTGAAGGAAGGATAAAAGAGTTTAAACAAGCCTTGCTAAGTGTGTGTAAATGTTGCTGGTCTAAACAGTTGTATCCAAACTGAAGGAGAGCTAATGGCAATGACGACAGGGGAGCCCATTTCACATGTGTGTACACACACACACAATTCTCACCCTCCTAGGTCTTTCTATCACCATACCTCAGCTCCCTGTAAACTAGGAGCTGAGGATGCCATCACAGTTGTGACCACCCATAAACTGATGTAGAACTGCAAGGCATACTATGTAATGTAGGGAAACTATGCAGGTTCCCCCTACTCATGCACATATACGGTAGTGACTCTTTGACAAGCCTGGAGATTACCTTTCATTCTCTCTCTATGGTAGACACGTTCACAGATACTGTAGGAAAATTCAGTACTGGCACTACTAATTAACCCACAAAGATGTAACATGAATAGCACTTGATCAGAAATGACCTCATCTTCTCTATGTCTTATAAATAAAAACCCCTTGGAGTTTTCATGATCACCCTTTGTATTTGTTACCACATCAAGGAAAACCATTTTTCTTGCTGTGTGTGTTTTCTTGAGTAGCTGGAAAACCCCTTATTTTCATTTTCCATCTTAGTAAAGTAGGTGACTATTACGACTACTTATTATGTAGCTGTACGTCAATCAGGGGAATTCTAAAAAGAACAAATCACTTGCCAACTCAGCTTTTGTCAGCTCAGAATACCAATGTTTGTAGGAAAAATATAGCGTGTTATATGGAAAGAGAGATGAAATCTCCAGCAGAAGTTACTAGTATCACTGGGCTCTACTATATGAACACTGGACCTCTTTTACAGTTCTGGTATTATGAAGCATACATGCAATAGCCAATAAAAACAAAATAAATCTACATGTAACATAGGGCCAGCCCAATATACTCCATAGGGGGTCTGCCCTCCCAGAGTACGTATAAGCTGTACAGACCAAATATTGATTATAGATCCCAGAAGTGACCACTAAAACAGTCAGACATACTGTATTTCATCACTATAATGTTCCTAGAGCAGCATTAAGGCCTCTTTACACCACCGTGCATGCCTTATTGTGCACATAAAGCACAAACGGTTTGCTTTTTAAAGTGAAATGAAAGTAAAAATGTGCTTAAGCTTTTTTAAATGCTGATCAAATGACTTACTATGAATGCTGCTCCTTGGATGTTTAAAAGCTTCAGTTTCCTGCAGAATCAGCTGATCCCGAGCACTGGCCCTGATATCCTGTTTTAGGGTCGCTACTTTACCTTGCAGGCTCCTGTGGAGCCGCCCTTGTGTGTGCCGAGGCGGCCCGGTTCACACCTAGGCGATCTATACATCATGCAAAACACAAATTCGCATTCATGTCATTGGAGAATGTTCACACCTTTGCCTCGTGTGGGCGAAATTGCCTGTCACGCAAAAAGGTGCAGGAGCTATTTTCGAGCTGTTATGACGTGGTTTTGGTCCCATAGACATCTCTATGCATTGAAAACCACTCAGTTTTCAAAGCAAAAACATCTCAATCGACTAGGTGTGAACCAGGCCTAAGCTGTGTGTGTCTCCAGAAACACACAGTCACAGCAAGGCAAGACCTGTTCTAAGCTAGTAGATGGAGGACTGTTGGAGACTGCTCTGTCCCTTGGATTTCTTATACCGGACAGGAAGTTCAGGGAAGACTAACAGAGAGTTGGAGCTGTTCAGAAACATGATGACTAAGTGTTGTTACAGTTATGTGCAGCATGCATTACAGTGCATTGGAACATGCTTTGCAAAAATGCAACATGTCCTATTTTTTCCAGAGCACACCAAAGCAGCATGTTGCCGTCATAGAATGGAAGGCAAATTGTGTTGTTCTTGCATCAGGACAGCATTAGGCAAGGCAGCCCAACTCTGTAAAGCTGACCATACACCTATAGATTATCTGCAGATTTTCTATGGTCAGATAGAAAAAGTGCAACAGATTCCTCCATCTACGCTAAACTGTGTGGATGGAGGAATCTCCCACTGGGCCAAGCTTCAGCACCTTGCTAGTCGGCCCCGCTGGCTCTCAAAATACTTGAACAATCTGATTGGATGCAGGCATTGTTCTGGTATTTTGAGAGCCAGCGGGGCTGACAAGCAAGATACTGAAGCTTGGCCCAGCGGAGATTCCTCCATCCACACAGTTTAGCGTAGATGGAGGAATCTGTTGCACTTTTTCCATCTGACCATAGAAAATCTGCAGATAATCTGTAGGTGTATGGCCAGCTTTAGTCTCAATGGACCCTAAAAGCCCAGTTTATAATAAGATGGTAGAGTGACAGTCAGACTCTGACTGCTTTGGGCAAGAAGAACAGATCTTCCCTCAGTGACTTTGGGACTGTTCGTAAAGGACTTTACTATAGTTAACAAATAAAGGATCTTAACCATTTCCGTCATGGACGTTCCTACCTTTCAAATAAAATGCAGTCTGTGGTTACCAGAACTACCAAGAAAAAGACAGGAGGTGAAGATCTTCGTTCAATAATCCTTCATACTTTACATGTCTGACCTCTGTCTCCATTCTGTTCTTGGTATTGTGGCCAAGCAACATTCCACAGATAAAGAGCTTTTAGCCCACAGAAGAAAGTGAGCAGCAAGAATCAGACAATACACTTTATCTACATTAGCAGTGGAAGAAACCGCCTTTGCCAAGGATATACTTGTTTTCCTAACACAATACTCTGTTACAATAATGTGTCACATAAAATGAAACACCTAAAAAGGTCAGTCCACCTTAAGTTGATTATTTTTGTATTTAACATGCCAGGAGTATCGATTCATCCAGTGGCTTCCTACTTGTTTCTCGTACTTTTATGGAGGAATCTCTTTACCTGGCTTCATGGGTCTTCGTGCCAGCTATGGCAAAGGGGGTCTCGCATTTCATTCTGAACTTTTATTGTAGAATATATATAGATTGCAGGAGAAAGAAAAGAGACTTGATGACAACAAAGGCAGCAAAAACAACAGTAGAGCCAGCAATGGGCCAGGAAAGCCTGGGATCCTACATAACTGGAATGGACTAACTCTAGATGGACTAGCTTCTCAAACTATATGTACATTGCATATAAAGTATGCTAGCCATACAAAGCTTGAATTTTGGACAATTTCGGTCAGCATCACCCGGCTCGACAAAAGTCGATTTGAAAAGGAATTGAGCTGGAGGGACATTCTCGGCCAAACAGTGACCAATGCGGTCAGATAGCCAGCACTGAAGAAGATTCTGCTATCCAAGGGCTGAACAAGAGAAAATGATACATGCATGGCTAGATTTACTGACCCAGCCACTGATGTGATTACATTTTTTGACCAGGTTAGCAAACATTGTGGATTGATAATGTTCCAACTGAGATAAGCACCCCCAAGTAAGACCTCCTAGCACTGCTAATCTCCTTTTTTTCTCTCCATTCAGCCAGACAGAACAATCATGTGCTTGCACCTCCGACTATCTTGTAGGTCTAAAGGTGAACACAGATATTAAATGACAGGTTGGGAAACAATCTAATCTACGATCACCAAACACTTTTGGCCACTTCTTCCAAATGTTTTTTGTTGCTGCAGTGAAGTATCTAGAAGTAGGTATAGGTGATACATTATGGTCAGACGAAGGCTGTATATCCAACCACCCTCTCATGTCTATATGTATTATTTTAATAAGACATCACTCTCTCACTGATAACTTTGCTGCTCTCCTTCACCGATCTGTTTTCCTGCTGCAGGCTTAGAAATACCTAGTACCTTCGGGTATAGGGTAGCATGTGACCTTCTCCCCTTTCTTCCGGGAAGCAGCCAATCACCAAGTCCGAGCACTGCCAAGTGGGGAGCAGGTTTATTAACCCTGTGTAAGCTTAGACACAGGCAGACACTAAGCCAACACAGGACCTTTTAATAAAGACTCTTGTAGATAAGCAGGGTGGGGGCTTGGGGAAGTTAAAGTATAACTTTTGGCTTCTACTGATTGCAGCACTCTCCTCTCCCCCTCTCTTTTGCATATATGAACATGTTTGGCTTAGCTTAGAGGTGGAGATATTAATATGGTATTCAGGAGCCAGCAGGTTTCTCGTAGGAGCCAGCCATCAACTAGAAAAAACCTTAAAGGAGAACTATAAGGTGAGTGCTTTTCAGTTCTAGCCAACCTGTGACAATGAGACTGTCACAGGTCGGCTCAGTAGATCGGGAGGTGAGCGAACACATACCGGCGTTCGCTCACCTCTCGATCCTGTCACGGCTCTCTGCCGTGACAGGGGAGGGGCTGGATTCCACCCTCCCCGCTCCGCCAGCGCTGACTGGCGGAACGGACGGGGGAGGGGGCGGGTACAGCTGGCTCTGCCTCTAGACAGGCAGAGCCAGCTGTCAGTCACACAGCTGAGTGGATCCCGGCACAATTGTCGGAATCCGCTTCAGCTGCGGCGTCTCAGTATACCGCGAGCAGCAGCTTGCGGTATACTGTGCCTAGAGTGACGGGAGGAATCTAGTTTGTGTCCTCCCGTTACCCCAAGGAGAACTATGGGGAAAAGCCTTAACCCCATAGTTCTCCTTTAAAAGGTTAGGCCCCAGATTTAAGGAGCATTGGCTACTTGGGATTTGTAGCGACCTGGCTTAGCTAATTGTTCTTTGCGTCAGTGCTACCCTATCCTTGATAGTGAGTGCAGCTGGACCATGCAAAGATGTTCCGTTACCCTTTAGTAGCACCTCTGTAGTGTAAAGGCCTACCAAACAATCTATCCACATACTGTGAGATCAGGTAGACCTTCACAACCCACAGATCAGCTCTAGAAAACAAAATCTGACTGAATGTGGTCAGACTTACACCTGTCCAGTACATAACACATCATTTTAACTTCTGGAAGACTTATACAGTTGGTCGCCCAGCCAAATTTTGCTGATGTTTCATCTGTTTGAAATCAGCCACAGTATGTGTTACCTGTTCTGCACCAGTAACTGGAATAACGTGCAGTTAACGTGCACAGTTCAGTAAATCATGTGGATTAGATGCAATTATCCTGCAAGCGACAAAAGCTGAGGGCTAGTTATGATTCGCCTTGAGTGATACATTGTACACGTATAAATGGTGGCAATACAGTACCTTGGGATTTCTATATATACGTCAACCAACTGACCCCCAATAAGCTTCTCCCCATTTAGCCATCCCTGCCTGCTGACTGTTAGGGGTTCGTTTAAATCAACTACATACCATTAGTGCTAGAATGATTGAAAGGTCTATTTTAACTGTTCACCTGTGGAAGTGCTCCATGGAGACAATGCACTGCATTTGATTCCCTACACCATGATGGCCACATAAGCATCTTGTACAATAACCATTTGTCTGGAAGTACAAAAATCGATAAAAATAGGATTCATTAAATTCCTTGGATTGTTTAATCACTTGTCATTGATCAGAACAAGTTGAATTTTAAAAAGGCTGTCTTGCCTGTAGCCAGTAAATAGAACCTGTATGCCCAAATGTTTAGAAAGCTATGCAAGTGTTTGGTTCCGTTTTCTACTGAACAAAAACACCTACAGGCAGTGTTCAAACCTGTCTGCAAGGGTGCTAGGCTTCATTCATGAATGCACGCTGAAGCAAGCCCACACAACATTCTTTTGTTTGTTTTCAGGACCTGCATTTAGCCAGTGCAAGTCTGTTGGACCTGTGGCAAATAGGACGGAATACAAATGAGGTGTACCCATTCACTGAATGCATATGCACACAAGTAGAAGTTTAAAAACTTACTGAATGATGCAAGCAGGTCCATAATACCTTTTGAAGAGAAGACACTCCATTTTAAACACTAGGGCAGGCTGAATGCAAACAAAGCTTGGACTTGTTTAAATTCAGTATCCTGAAATCTGGGAAACATACGCAGTAACATAAAATCCCCACCCACAGTCCACAGGAAAAATGTAACTTTCCTACATAAAACCTCAACATGCTCCTTTAGTTTCACTTCCACTTTCTAACAAATTGTAATGAATCATACAACTCTCAGATTGTTTGACAGAATTACCATAAAAGCCCGAAACATAAAAATGGTTTTCCCTTACAGGGGTGAACAAATCAATATGGAATCCGGGAGCCAGCAACATTTTCTAAAGGTGCCCATACACTGGCCGAAATTCAGACGGTTTTTACTGTACTGGACGAAGTTCGCAGTGTGTGGGGCTGTCGGCTCTCTTTCAGCCGGTGATGTATCGAAAGTGCGAACTTATCGAGTTGTGGGACCGCATGACTTCCGGTTTCCTCAGAACTACGATGTTTACACACAAAACATGTTGTGCACGAGCGCCATCCACGGCATTGCCCTATACACATAGACCACAGCAATAAAGTTATAAAATGATCTAGGATGACAGTAAGCCAGCACGTTCTTTATCTCAGGTGCCCCACTCAATATGGCCGCCGCTTCAGTGGGGCACCTGAGATAAAGAACGTGCTGGCTTACTGTCATCCTAGATCATTTTATAACTTTATTGCTGTGGTCTATGTGTATAGAGCAATGCCGTGGATGGCGCTCGTGCACAACATGTTTTGTGTGCAAACATCGTAGTTCTGAGGAAAGCGGAAGTCATGCGGTCCCACAACTCGATAAGTTCGTACTTTTGATCGATCACCGGCATTCCTCGATCAGCTGATCACAAGTGCCTGCTGGAAAATCTCTGTGCGCTCAGAGCCGGCAGCCAATGAGCTGCCCGCTGTTTGTTTTGATGGAGGAATCGCTTCAATTTTTTTCCTTCAGCCCGCGGGTTAAAAAGAAAAAAAAATTGACAGGTATATGGTCAGCCTTAGAAACCAGCTCCACTAACATCAGTCATTTTTAAGAAGCATTGGCGACCTGGTTTCTGCGTTTTCTCCCGCCCTGCCTTACTATACTATCTGAAGGAAGTACTCTTCTTAGTAAACACTCAGTCCATCATTGAAAGGGGCAATCTAGCAGCAATAGGATTTTTCTTCAAATGCTTTGATAAATAAAGCTAAAATGTGTCATTTGTTTTCAATAGAACCATTTAATTAAACTCGATTTTGTGCTCTGTGTTCGAGTCAGAGTCGTCCACAACATTGTCCATTATCCTTAGATAAAACTGGTCTTTTTAGGGCCTATTCACACTACTGCACTGCAGTAATGCATGCCACTTTCATTGATGCTATGCAGTGATTATAAATGGCACCCAAACGTACTTTACAGACCAAAGTGAGTTGTGGTACACAGCCAGAAAGGATATGTGCACCTTTTTAGGGGTGTTCTTGTGCGCTCCACCTTTGTAAGTGATTAGCATTTCTTGTGGTAATGTAGGAGGTGCAGTGATGATTTATACATGTGCACATTTTCATGACTCACATTGCGGGCTTTCTTTATTTTTTATGAAGTTTTTATTAGGCCTGAATCCTAAATTTTCTCCACAGGAAATTCAGCCTGATACTGGGGTCGAATTGTAAAGCAGGCTGTAAACAGCTGCCCCCCTCCCTGAGATTCTGTGCAACACCATCACTAAACACCAGCTCTGCCTTTATACACAATATACTGCATATGCTGGCTTCATATACACTCGATGTACATTGCTACCATATGTTCTTCAAAAATATCTCCACAAAAGGTGGACATGGGCTTTAACATGTGTGCACTAATGCGCCACAATGGTGTGAATGGGCCCTTAACATTTAGTGGAGGAATTAAACCTTTTATGTGACATTAACGTTTACCTAGAGCCAAAGCATCTTTTTGGTTTTGGATGGAGTGCATAATTCAGTGTTTTTCAACCTTTTTTTTTTTTTAGTCATGGCACCCTTTAACCACTTCAAGACCAGGTGTTTAGACCCCCTTCCTGGCCAGGCCATTTTTCAGTATTCAGCGCTGCGGTACTTTGACTGACGTTTATTCCGTCATGCAGCGCTGTATGCAAAATCTCAAGGCACCCCAGTCTAGAATGTCATAGTTTTAAGGGGGACCCCATGCAAAAACACCCACAAAAGTGGGTTTCCTCCTTCACATCAAGATATCTCCCCTTCACATAGGAGTCACCTTTTGCATCAGTAGCCCCATTTTACATTATGTCTTCATTCCCCTTTTCACATCACAGTCTCACTAGAACAAAATTATGATGCACCCCTGAGTAGGCCATGGGGCACGGCACCCTGGTTGAGAAAGGCTGGTGTAGTTTATTGCTGTGGCCCTGCTGGGGTGCAACTGCATTATATTACCTCATACAGCGTCCAGCCGTCCTTCCTCTGGTTAGATGCGGTAGAGCTGTCCATATTCCCGCATCTTACCAGAGCGAGGACGGCTGGAGGTTGTAAGAGGTGATTTAATGCAATTTGAAGTCCAGCCGTCCTTCCCCATCTCTCCTAACTGAAACTCAATACCTAAGTACGAGCTCTGCCTGGCAGAGAATGTGCACAAGCCTGAGCTTTGCATCTGTGATTGAGTGATCACAATGGCAATGCTTTCCAGAATGCAAAAATGAAAGAAATGCCTATTTTTTATTAAATAGGCATTTCTTTCATGTTTGCAAAAGGTGGGCTTAGCCTTTAAATAAAGTGGATTCAATTGTCACCAGAACAGGTGACTAACATACTGGATGTCCCCGTGATTTCCTGTTTTGGTGACAATGCCCATTAGGACATAAGGAGTGGCAGAACTTTACAGCATGGACACTTACTTCCAACAATAAAGACCTGACAGGGGTACTAAGCCTTCCCAGCCCTATCTAAAATGAAAACAACAAAAAAAAGTGTGTGTGCCATTACATCCACTTTGATTCCAATGTATTTCTAATTGATTGTGCTTTCAGACATAACTTCCACACACCCCATAAACTATTACATGCCATATTCTGTGAACTTTAAATGACTCCACTCGGATCACCTGCCAAGTTTAAACGTCCCCAAACAGAAAACGTATTTTCTAAGAGATCTGGAATTTTCACACCAGCAAAAAAATGACGACAAGCGCACACTGTGCACATTATCCTCCCTACAGACATGAGAAATAGCGGCCTCCACCCCTCTCTATGTGACCCTTTCACTGCTCAACACTAGGATGACAAGGCCTGTGTACAGGGCCACAGCTCATGACAGAGCTCCTCCGGAGTAATCCTCTCGTGTTGTCAGCACATACATGAGGAACATCTCCAAACATCTGGACTTCCCAACAAACACATCTCATTGTATCTTCATTTTACAACGAGACATGCATATAGTGTATATTAGTGCCCCCATAGTGTGTATACACATGCATATCATGCCCCTATAGTGTTTATACACATGCATATAGTGCCCCCATAGTGTATACACATGCATATAGTGCATCTATAGTATTCAGGGGTAGGTAAATTCCAGCCCTCCAGCTGTTGAACTACAACTCCCATGAGGCATTGCAAGATTCTGACAGCAACAGACATGACTTCCAGAGGCAGATGAGTCATAGGATTTTACCATAGCTGGAGGGTCAAAGTTTGCCTACCCCATGTATACACACACACACACACACACACAGAGTGTACCTATAATATATACTTACATACAGAGATCTAGAGTATCTAGAGTGTATATAGTGCACTTAACTATAGTATTTACACATACATATCCATAGAGAGTGCACCTATAGTGTATATATACACATATACAGTGTATATAGTGCACCTATAGAACATCTACTCATATAAAGTGCACTGACCATAGTTTAGAAGACACTCTGTCATCCATAGAATTCAGACTTCATGTGGCATGGCGCCCCATGAAGTCGGCATTCTACGGATGACAGAGTGACACTGATCAATGTCCCCGGGAAAATGTGGAGGAGATCACAGCCGTAAATATGACTATAGACTGTTTCATGTGACTGCGATCTACACACATAGAAAGTTCCCGGGAAATCCGGACACTCCAACACATGGCAGATTGCGACACAGCGAGTGGAACGAGCCCATAGTCCTGCCAGGGAAGGTCACGGCTCTACTAGCTCCACTATGAACTTTCCCAGCCACTCTGATCACATTCCTCCCGGCACATGTTGCTCCCACCCTGCGTTACCTTGCTCCATGGATGTGACGCCGTTTGCTCGGGACGAGTGGAGGAATCCAAATTGAAAGTGCTGATTTCAGTCAGTCCCGTGATGAGAGCTGTACGGAAACTCCATCAGCGGATGATCGCCCGCAGGAACTGAAGGCGGCGCATGCCGTGCCTCAGGGTGTTCCATTCATACGCTACAAGATAAGCACGGGCGGCTTCCCTGGTACGCCCCCTGCCGGTGTCCGCTGGGACTGCACACACACATATGACTTACACAGGCTCAGACCTGATATGGGAATGGTCAGCGCCACTTCCTTGTCCTCACTGCTTTTATGTATGGTACTACTTTTCTGCAGAGTCAGCTGAAATTTGTGCCATGGGGGGACCTTGTTAGTAGCACCCAGCTTGAGGAGGTGCGATAAACTTTGATTGAATAAAACAGTTGTTGGACAAACAGTTCTTCCAATCAGATTTTTTCCAATCAGCTGCAGTCACTGTTCATGTATTCAGACCGGCCAGCCATAGACACTGACTCAGATGCAGTCAGTGATTTATCTTTAGGGCATGACAGGCAGAGCAGGTGTCATGGGTGCCACTTAACGGGAGGTGCTTCACTACTGTCAGGGACAGTGGCATTATTGCCCCTTTAGCTAAGCTGTGCCCCCTTCAAACCTCCCATCAGCACAGACCAGCAGGGGCAGATGCCACAGCCGATTGCCGCTGTCACATGTAAACAAAGAGGGGGGCCAGGGAAAGTTACACTACTCACTTCCTTTGCTGGGCCATGAGTGATGACTTGTGTAATCTGCCCAGAGCCTGGCAGAGGAAGTGAGTAATGGTATGTTCCCTATTCCAAATTCTATATGCCATGTGGTACATTTCCTACTCCACACCACCTTATTCTATATGCCATGCTATATGTTCCCTATTCCGCATCGCCTCATACTCTATGTCATGCTCTACATTCTCTATTCCACACCAACTCATTTCATATGCCATGTTATACATTATCTATTCCACAATGTCTCACTCTGTATGCCATGTTATACAGGGATCCCAACCTAAAAGAAGCAATTTCAGGGAGGTGTCCCTCTTATTTCAGGGAGGTGCCTATACATTCATTCTTCCACATCGTCTCATTCTGTATGCCATGTTGTACATTCCCTATTCCACACACCTCACTTTATATGCCATGCCTTACGTTCCCTATTCCACACACCTCACTTTTTATGCCATGCCTTACGTTCCCTATTCCACACACCTCATTTATATGCCATGCCTTACATTCCCTATTCCACACACCTCATTTATATGCCATGCCTTACGTTCCCTATTCCACACACCCTATTTTTGCATTCCATGCCTTACGTTCCCTATTCCACACACCTCATTTATATGCCATGCCTTACATTCCCTATTCCACACACCTCATTTATATGCCATGCCTTACGTTCCCTATTCCACACACCCTATTTTTGCATTCCATGCCTTACGTTCCCTATTCCACACACCTCATTTTATATGCCATGCCTTACGTTCCCTATTCCACACACCTCATTTTTATGCCATGCCCTACGTTCCCTATTCCACACACCTCATTTTATATGCCATGCCTTACGTTCCCTATTCCACACCGCCTCATTTTATATGCCATGCTTACACTCCCTATTCCACACACCTCACTTCATATGCCATGCCTTACGTTCCCTATTCCATACACCTCATTCTATATGCCATGCCTTACACTCCCTATTCCACACACCTCATTCTATATGCCATGCCTTACATTCCCTTATTCCACACAACTCATTTCATATGCCATGTTATACATTCCCTATTCCACAATGTCTCCTTTTGTATACCATGTTTTACATTTATTCTTCCACATCGTCTGTTTTGCCATGTTGTACATTCCCTATTCCACATCATTTTATTCTGTATGCATGTTGTACATTCCCTATTCCACATAGTCTCATTCTGTATGTCATGCTGCACATTCCCCGTTCCACAACACCTAATTTTATATGCCGTGCTGCACATTCCCTAGTCCATGCTGCCTCTTTTACACACCTTGCTGCACATATTATATTCTGCATTGCCTCATGTGGTACACTGTGCTGTACGTTCCTTATTCTGCACCAACTTTACAGGCCCAGCAGCACTAGTGTAGCTCTAAGGCCCCATTCACACAAGGTGGCTGGGGATTTCTGTGGCAAAAACCTATGGATTCTTGCAGCAGGAATCCCAGGGGTGACCATACAGATGGGGCCGCTGTGCTCGTTCAAGTGAATGACAGGGTGACAGCAGCCACATCTGTCAGTAAAAGGATTACCAGCAGTACGAGATAGATGATTGTCCCTGGACGCAATCTGTCTGTAGGTTCTTGCCGCAGGAATCCCAGTTGCAACCTAAAGCCCCGTGTGAATGGTGCCAAGGGCTGAGAGCTGAGCGTGATTGCAGATTAGTCAGCTCTCTGTCCCTGCTGCCAGAGTGTAGTGACTTT